TAACACTGACGTATGTAGACAAATTGATAGATGATGTGCACCGGCTGTTTCGAGACAAGTACCGCACAGAGATCCAACAGCAAAGTGCTTTAAGTCTGTTGAATGGCACTTTTGATTTCCAAAATGACTTCCTGCGGCTTCTTCGGTGAGAAGGCCTCCTTTATCCAAAATCAGCTTCTTTGCTTTGATGAGTCCCATCCTGACAGTGTTTCAAGGGTGGTAAATTGTGTTAAAAGCCACGTATAATTTGCTACCTAGTTTTGATTTTTGATATGATGTCTTCTCTTTGGGTTTTATTTTCCTTCTCCATGAAGTTGAAAGATCAACCATTCTTCTCTCTTTAGCGAAGCTGAGGAGAGCAGTAAGATCCGCGCTCCCACTACCATGAAGAAATATGAAGATTCTGAAAAGGCTAAGAAACCTGTAAGATCCATGATTGAAACACGGGGGGAAAAGCCCAAGGAAAAAGCAAAGAACAGCAAAAAAAAGGGGACCAAGAAGGAAGGTAATTTTAAGCCCCTTGGACACACTGAGACATGAAAGGTGTCTAACGTGGCACTAAGGACTGAGGTGTTCCTTTCTTTTTTCTTTGCCTCCCAGACACTCAATATATTTACCACCCTGTCATCCCCTGATGATTCCCAAGATGTCTGGTCCAAATGTCCTCTTAAAGATTTGGAAGACTTTGTCTATTTGGGTGGGATTTGGTCTTTTTTTTTTTTTAATCTCCAATGAGACTTCTCCCAACAGGTTCTGATGGCCCTTTGGCTACCAGCAAAGCAGCCCCTGCAGAAAAGTCAGGTCTCTCAGTGGGGGCCGAGAATGGAGTAGAACTTTCTAAAGAGGAGCAGATACGCAGGAAGAGAGAAGAGTTCATTCAGAAGCATGGGAGGGGTATGGACAAATCCAGGTGAGCATTCTGACTGGCACTAGTTCTAAATACATGGACATTGGGGCAAGGGAGCTTGTATCTCTGGCTTATGTTCTTTCTTGGTTCTCCACCATAACCCTTTGCAGCAAGTCCGTGAAGTCAGATGCTCCCAAAGAGAAGGGCAAAAAAGCCCCCCGGGTGTGGGAACTAGGTGGCTGTGCTAACAAGGAAGTCTTGGATTATAGCACTCCTACCACCAATGGAACTCCAGAGGCTGCCCTGTCTGAGGACATCAACTTGGTAAGAGGAAACAGACCCGCATGAAGTTCACCATTAATTAGAAATTAGGAAGAAGCAAGAGACTAGGAAGGCAATATTTGAATTTGAGTGAGGGGATGAATTATATTTGGAGCCTCCCCCGATTGGAGATAGCAGTGTTGATAGGGTAAATCCTTGGCTCTTATCCCTCAGAGCCTGTAGTGTTCCTGATCCCACCTCCTTCCTTTCCCCACATCCTCCAGATTCGAGGGACTGGGCCTGGGGGGCAGCTTCAGGACCTGGATTGCAGCAGCTCAGATGATGAAGGGGCCGCTCAAAACTCCACCAAACCTAGGTAGGGGGATTTCAGGTGGGGAGAGGTATATTTGGCTGCACAACTAATAGACCATAACTTCTGTCTGCGGCTTTATGTGTATTTGATCTCTTGTGCCTGCAGTGCTACCAAGGGAACTCTGGGTGGCATGTTTGGGATGCTGAAGGGCCTTGTGGGTTCCAAGAGCTTGAGTCGTGAAGACATGGAATCTGTGCTGGACAAGATGCGTGATCATCTCATTGGTAAGTTCTGAGGTCTGGACTGATTCATTCATGGAGTAGAGCTGGCAGGAAGCAGAACACAGTTTCTAAGTGGTGCCACAAGGATCAGTCACTGTTGACACAGAACTCACACCTGTCCCCATCTCTTCGCAGCTAAGAATGTGGCTGCAGACATTGCCGTCCAGCTCTGTGAATCTGTTGCCAACAAGTTAGAAGGGAAGGTGATGGGGACATTCAGCAGTAAGTATCTCCATGTTAAAATGTGCCTGTGCTTACTGAGAGGTTAAACACACTCCATTCTTATGACTTAACAAGTTCCTTGTCTTCTAAACCTTATTATATAGCCTAGAGTTTTTAGGAAGGTAAATGAGTTAATACTTACAAAGTGCTTAGACCAGCATAGATTGAAATTCTGTGACTAGATCCTAGTTTATGGTTCTGGTCTGCTAGCTCAGAAAGGTGTTGGGCATTTTTTAGTACATTCTTTGGGTCTCATGCTGAGTTCCCTACTGCTTCCTTTTCAGCGGTGACTTCCACAGTCAAGCAAGCTCTACAGGAGTCTCTGGTGCAGATTCTGCAGCCGCAGCGTCGAGTAGACATGCTCCGGGATATCATGGATGCCCAGCGTCGCCAGCGCCCTTATGTTGTCACCTTCTGTGGTGTTAATGGAGTGGGGAAGTCTACTAATCTTGCCAAGGTCAGTGCAGTTTCCCAGGCTGTCATTGATAACTTCTTTACTCTGTTTTAGAACCATGTTCTAGGTGACAGGTTTCTTAATTCTTTTGCACAGATATCCTTCTGGCTGTTAGAGAATGGCTTCAGTGTTCTCATTGCTGCCTGTGACACATTTCGTGCTGGGGCTGTGGAGCAGCTGAGAACACATACCCGGCGTCTGACTGCCCTACATCCCCCAGAAAAGCATGGTGGCCGCACGATGGTGCAGTTGTTTGAAAAGGGCTATGGCAAGGATGCTGCTGGTATTGCCATGGAAGCCATTGCCTTTGGTAAAGTGCACAGAAAGCGTGGGCTTGTTGGGGGTTCTTTTATCCTTGGGCACTCTTGGAATTTGCCCAGAGGATCAGCCTTCTGCTATTACAGACTTCACTGCTGAGTAACAGAAAAGTCAGAATTAGTTACTTGTGGTGCTTTGCTTTAGGGTAATGTGTATAGTCGGAGATAGAGCTCATACATCCTAACCAAAGAAACTTGAATTTGCTCACTTTTATCTGATTGCTGTCCTTTCTTTAAATGTTTTTGGTGGTGGCCAAGTATGGATATGTTCCTCACATTACCTTGTAACTGAATCCAGAGCCTAAGTCTTAACAGCCAGAGTAGGACTTCTTGGGAGGAAGTTGGCAGAAGCATGAGTGACAAGTGTTTGAGTTGACCACTTTTTCTTTCTCTAGCACGTAACCAAGGCTTTGATGTGGTACTGGTGGACACGGCTGGCCGCATGCAAGACAATGCTCCCCTGATGACTGCCCTGGCCAAACTCATTACTGTCAATACGCCTGACTTGGTGCTGTTTGTGGGGGAGGCCTTAGTAGGCAACGAAGCCGTGGACCAGCTGGTGAGGGCTTGGGCCTAGTTCCCTTTACAACTTAAACTATGGCAAATCAGATGGTTCTTATACTTCTATCATATTTTCCCTTTGCAGGTCAAATTCAATAGAGCCTTGGCTGACCATTCTATGGCTCAAACACCTCGGCTCATTGATGGCATTGTCCTTACCAAATTTGACACCATTGATGACAAGGTAAGTGTGAAAAAAACAAGACAGTGAGAAAGGAGGGAGGAATGGACTTCCTTCACAAGGAAGCTGAGGCCTTAAGGATGTTAAAAAAAGCTCCATTACTGAGGGTGAGTGAAAAGGGGACTTGAGTTGATTGGTTGTTCCCTTTCTCCTCAGGTGGGAGCTGCTATTTCTATGACATACATCACAAGCAAACCCATCGTCTTTGTGGGCACTGGCCAGACCTACTGTGATCTCCGCAGTCTCAATGCCAAGGCTGTGGTGGCTGCCCTCATGAAGGCTTAATGTGGCTCTTGCCTAATACCAAATTGCCGCTTTCCCCCACAAACCCCTACTCCTGTTATCAAGAATGTGCTTTAGAGTATGTGAGCAACTTGTCTTCAGTATAGTACAAAGGCAGAGTGAGGGAGCTCTAGGAGCTTGCAGCTCCTTCCAACCCCACTTCCTTGTCAGCCCTGCCTCCATCTGCAAGGAGGACCTAATCATGTTTCAGTCACTGCCCACTGACCTTCCCTTTACCCCCTTGAGCCTCCCTCTTCCTACTCAGGCATCCCCTTCACTCTGCCTATAGACTCAGTCTCATTACAGCTTTGACCAATGGTTGGAAGACCCAACATAAGAACTTTGTGAACTAGTATGGTCATAGAGCCATCTAAGCCTAAGGAGCAGTTTGAGGTCCCAGCTCCATTAGGTTGAGAGACTCTTCTAGAGCCAGCTTTGGGTCTTAAACAGCACCTTCTCCTAGGATACACAGCTTTCAGGTCCCTGGTGCCAGGATGACATCCACTTCACTGTGGCAGTATGTGGCCTGTTCTTAATTGCTGCTAATTCAAAATCTGATGACCCCTATACTGTATTTTTTCCAAAGCATCACCTTGGCCAGAGTGATTTGTTACAAAATGAGTGAAAGGTGAGTCCCTGCTTCCCTCAAACACAGGGAACTGAGCTGCAGTGTTGCATTGGGCTTCTCAGCCTTCTGACTCTTCCCCTAGTCCTGGAATCCATGTGTAAGCCTTGCATGTTCCCCTTCCTGGGAGAAAAGCAATTATCAGAAGGGTATCCGTTGCCCCCTGCCCAGCCCAACCCTTCACCTCCTGAGCAGGTCCTGGCTTCTTTTTCATCCCTGTCTTCTACAGTGCCTGGTAGACAAGTGCTACGTTGAAGAAAACAAACCTCTTGTTAAGACTTGTCCTGTAGCTTGGTATTACAGATGTGCTATTAGTGCAATAAGGTGAAGGCTGTCTGCCCAGAGAAATACATAATTTATATAAGAAAATAAATTTCATAAATAAACTGGCTCTTAGGTCTTAAAGTTATTTTATATAGGATTCCGAATTAAAATCCCAAATCACACTATCTAGTTCTGGGACTTACAGTAAGAAGGGCAATAAAGCAGGAGCTGAGGCTGCTCCTAGGAATCAGGTAAGTAAGGTGTCATCCTAGGAATATATTACCCCATCCCAAGGTGAAAGAACAGAACTTTTAAAATTTAAGTTGTGTTATAAAAATTAGGCTTCTTATAGTACCTTGGTGCAAGTTAAGAGATTTCTACGACTGTCAAAGTAGAGCCAGGGCCCTGGCAGGTAAATGAACAAGCTTTTAATACAGCTCAGTAAGTAAAATACTGTACACTGTAAAAGATCTAGAAAACTAGAGCTTCAAGTCATGTTTTAAAAAAGCCATAAAGCTTAGTTGAAAAACCAATAGAGTACAAAACTGCAACAAGAGCCCCATTGACTCCATGACTTCTAGCTCCCCAAGTCCTTCATGCAGGGCTATAGCCACAGTCAGTGGAGGTATCAACATTGGTCTGCTGTGTGGACGCAAGCATGTCCAGCCTTGGGTGGGTGTAGTGAGGGGGCTGCATTTGGGTCCCGTTGTTACTCAGGTGTTCTTGAACTGGAACAGGTAGCAGAATATCATGAACCAGCCAGCATAAAGGAAAAGTTGGAACATCTCCCCCCGCTACTCTGCCCCAAATTTCAACCTCTGGGTATTGGTGCTTCTGGGAGCTGTGTTGAGTTCTTCTAAATTTGCTTGTTAGACACTGTCCACACTAGGGCCTTACAGCTTGGTGGTGATTCCTCTAGCTTGCTCATGTACTACAACCTGTGAAGAAAGAAAAAGAATGAAATGAAGTTTCACAAAACAGGTGGAAAGCGGCAGATATTTCAATGAGTCCTTACCTTAAAGGCAAGACCTAGAGAGTCTAGGAATCTTATAATAGACTAGATAGGGAATGGTAAAATTCTAGTGGAGAGGTGAATCATTCTCCAGTCTTAACTAAGTTTTAGGAAACTTTTTTGACATTGTGACAAATGGGAAATAGCATACCTCTTATTTCACTGTGTGCTGCAGATGAGCCATTTAGCTGGCCTTCTCTCACCATTCCTGCTAAAGAGAAATAAGTGTCAGACTAGACTGAAATGCTAAAACTATTAATAGCAAAAAGGAAACTAAAAGGTTGGGCATGGTGGTGCACACCTGTAATCCCAGCTATTCGGAAGGCTGAGGCAGAGGATCACAAGTTCCAAGTCAGCCTTGTCAATTTAGGGAGCCCCTGTGTCAAAAATAAAAAGGACTGGGATGTAGGTCAGTGAAAACATCACTCGTGGATTCAATCCCTGGTACCACAAGTGGAAACTGGGGAGAGAGAAACAACTAAAGGGAGCTAAGGGTACACGTATGACTAAAAATTATGGCATTTAAAAATGCAACAGAAGATGAGATAGGAGAATAAATTGGGTTGGTCTTCAGGCTGTTGCATTAAACAAGCAATGAATTTCCTTAGTGTACCAAACTGCTTGTAAATGAGATATTTACATAAAGACTTTGCCTAAGTATTTTTTTTAAAAACCAAATTTAGGCAAAATTCTGTCTGATAAATAATGGGGAGCATGTGAGTGAAAAAATTCAACCTAGTACAAGGGTAAAAAAGTAGCCAATTATTCGCCACAACAGAAAATGGGTTAGATCTGTATTGTCGTTGCTTGGTATGGTACATTTAGCCACATACAGTTATTTAGTGTCCAAATAAATTAAAAATTCTCTTCCTCAACAGCTACATTTCAAGTGTTCAATAACTATCTGTGGCTTATGGCACTGGCACTGCACAATGAAGACTCTATGCTATGATGACAGGAAATTCTACTGCACAGCATTGGGATAGAAAATGGTATAAGAAAGTTAGTTTGCTTGCTTATTTATTTATTTGAAGTACTGGGGGTTAAACCCAGGAGCACTCTATCACTGGGTCACATCCCTAGTCCTTTTTACTTTTTTGAGACAGTTTTCACTAAGTTGCCCAGGCTGGCCTTCAACTTTAAACCTTCCTGCCTCAAGTCTCCTGAGTAGCTAGGATTACACGTGTGCCACTGTGCCCGGCTTAGGAAAAATTAAAAAACAACACACAAGGGGGGCTGGGGATGTGGCTCAAGCAGTAGCGCGCTGGCCTTTTGTGCGTGTGGCCCGGGTTCGATCCTCAGCACCACATACAAAGATGTTGTGTCCGCCGAAAACTAAAAAATAAATATTAAGAAATTCTCTCTTTCAAAAAAAAAAATAGTGGTCAAAAGTTTAAAAAAAAAACACATAGAAGAAAATAATCAGAAATACATAATATATATATATATATACGGCACTGAAATGTAAAAATTGGTATGGGAACCCATCTTGGAAGGCAATATAGCAGTATTTATCTATTCATCTGTTAATGGGACACCTAGGTTGGTTCCATAGTTTGGCGATATTGAACTGTGCTGCTATAAATATGTATATACATGTATCAGTGTAGTATCACGACTAATTCTTTAGGATAAATACTGAGGAGTGGACAGCTGGATCATATAGTGGTTCCAGGCTGTTTAAAATCATAGTTGCAATAGAAAATGCTAACACAAAAACAAAAAACTCATGAAAATGACCATTTAATTAAACACCAAAAGACCATTCTAGATATTCCTATACACACACACACACACACACACACACACACACACACAAAATACACCTACAATTTTCCATGAATGGGACTGATAAAGTGGCAATTATACCTGCTGTTTTCCCCTCTACTCATTGTCTGACATCACCTTAGCAGAATTTCATTTTTCTCTTTTATGGCTTCATTGTATTTCATCAATTAAATAAATGTTGGGATATCTATATAGAGAGTTTCCTACTCATGAGGACAGGACACTTTGGTGTTTTCCAATTTTTTGCCATTACATATACAACACAGATTATGTTCTCACATGTACATGTGATGGTGCAATTATCCAATTATTTTCTTAGGATCAAAGACTTTTGCCATTTTTGATACACATTACATTCATTTTCATAAAAACTGTGCTAGAGGCTAAGGCAGGAGGATTCCAAGTTTGAGGCCATCCTAGGCAACTTGATGAGACCTTGCCTCAAATTAAAATGAAAAAAAAAAGGGGGGGGGAGAGGGGGCTGGCAATTTGCACAGTGGTTAGAGTACTGAGGTTCTGGGTTCAATCTCCAGTACCACAAAAAAAACAAAACAAAAAAAACAACAAACTTTACCTTCCTTTCACCACCAAACACTATACAAACACTTCAAGAAAAAATTTCTTTCCCCATACCCTTAGCCAAAACTGAGTAATCCTTCTCAGTTTTGAAATCTAAATTATTTTTTTTAGATATATTTTTTAGTTGTAGATAAGTTTTTATGTGGTGCTGGGGATCAAACCCAGGATCCCGCACATGACAGGCGAGCACTCTTAACCACTGAGCAATGACCCTAGCCCTTGAAATCTAAATTCTAATTGCATTTCATTGAGAACTAGTAAGGCTGAACATTTTTACATGTTTCTTGTTCCTCCTACATTTATACTGAATTGCTAGAGTATACCTTTTGTCCACATTCTTATTACTTAAATGGCATTTAAGTCTAACTTGGAGATTGACCTCCCTTTGAAGTATGATCAGATACTGCATTCTGTATCCTGATAATGATTTTACCCATCATAAACACATAAAAGGCCAAAGGGCTATTACTCTTAGACTTTTCTTAGTCTCGAAATGCTTCTTACCTGATCTACCCCTCGTGGCGATCTCAGATGTCAGTCGCTTGAAATACTCTGGAAGATCAGCATAGTCATTTCCATAGGAGATGACCTTAATTCCTTTGTCGAGCATGTTTTCTCGAAGTTTCTTGAACTCATCTACATCTCCTCTCCGAACCAGCATGAAATGTTCTAAGTCAGATTTATGCTTGACAGCTTCTAGGAAGAGGGCCTGGAAAGTGGTGTCATCCACAGTCCAGCCACAACCCAGGAAAAGAAATGACTTGTTTTCATAGAGTTTCTGAATCTCTCTCTTAAAGGGGGGGAAAAAACATATTAATCATACCAAATACCTGATACAAGGCATGTCTAAAACAAAAAGTCAACATTTCATTACTGCTAGTTAGCAACTACAATGACCAATTAACTGAGATTCAAATTTTTTTGACTCCATTTGCCTTTTTGTTTTGTTTTGTTTTACAAACTGAACCATGGGTCCTCAACAGATTTGCCCAAAGAAGTATGACTACTTAGAATATAAACAAGGGTGTGAATGTTGTGTGTAATGTGTATATTTACAAATATACATATATATAAACTTAAAAATGTTACAAATAATTTTTTAAGAAATCACTAAATTTCAGTTGTAGATGCAGTTTTAGAAGATGTCAAGGAATAATAAATCCCTTATTATTAGAAATAGTAAATAAAATAATAATAATAATAAATCCCTTATTAGAAAACACATTTCCTGGATTTACTTTGGCTGTACCATGTAAGGAATCTACCACCATTCTATGTGGTCTAGTCCTAAGAATAGCCAGCACTGAGTTGGGGGCCAATGAATTCCCCTACATAGCACTAGCCAGGAAGTACTTCTGGTTTAAACATGTACATGTGACCAATTCCAAAACTTACACCCTAAAAGATCAATAAACAAAAGAAAACCTCCATTTTATCATCCTAGCCAAAATTTTTCAATTTTTTTCCATCAAGAAGTTTAAATGTGAGTGGGTGTACTTAATTCAATTTAGGCCATTTCTGTTTTAACAAAAAGCTCTTTGGATTGTATGCTCTAATAGCGACTAGTATGTAAAAAGTTCTCTAATTTAAATTATTTTTGGCCCAGTTATTAATAAATCAAACAATGAAGAAAGGTATCAGTGTATTCTTTGTATATAAGGATGATGCCAATGATGAAAGTACCATCTGCTGGCTGTTTATCAAGTACAAATGAAGAGTCTGTCCTGATCTGAAGGAAAGTTCTCCATTTCCCAGGATGGCTTGCACACTCACAAGCTAAAAGGCATATGAAGGATGTCTGACCTTTCAGCTTTTTTTTTTTTTTTTTTTTTTTTTTTTTTTTTGTGATGCTGGGTATTGAACACAGGGCCTTGCACATGTGAGGCAAGTACTCTATCAACTGAGCTATATCCCCAGCCCCCAGCTTTTGATTAATGAAAATGTTCCCCCTTTAAGACCTATGCCATATTTAGAGAGGCTCCCAGGAGAGTTCCTGAGTTCAGCAAGATCAGCACCACTCACCATAACTTCAGTGTTCCTGAGCACATTCTGATATCCAGCTGGATGAAGGACAATGCCACTAGGGTTGGTGTAGACCCCATGGATGTGTAGCACACTTAGCTTCCGTTTCTCCTGAGCCCACTCAAGGACCTGCACAACACAGAGACAGCTCATCTATGTGGCAAAATGGCACCTGCTTGAAGGTCACAATGGGCAAGAGGCTGTTTTGAGGAAAGGACTTCTGGCATAACCTTCCAGCTTCATGGTATCACAGGACAAGAATGCAAAACCTGATGTGGACTGTTTCCATTTCAAGTGTAACTGTCAAGAAGGGATGGCAGGAAGTCTGCTGATTTCTCTTAGAAAGTAATAATCAGAAGTCAGAATTCATTTGTCATCGTTTATAGAAATAACAGGGCCTTTCTACCAGTGACAAACATGAGAGTGACAGAGAAATGCTGCACTGATGGGCCCAAGAAATCAAACAGGCCCTTAGGTAGTCTCTGCTTGTGATAACTCTAGTGTGACCACGTGGCTTACATTAGCTACTGGGATAACAGCAAACATGACACAAACAGAGGCTTGTAAAGTACTGGCACAACTAGTCCTATTTTTCTCTTTGCCACTTATATACCATGCAGTCCAGATTGACAACCAGATAAATGCAGCTAAGCCACAAAACCAGCCGAAGAACTACCCGACTGAGTCACTGAGCCTAGTTTGAATGGATTATTGACTATTAATAAACTGTTTGCTATTTTAAGTCTCAAAGTTTCAGGGTAGTTTCTTGCAAAATACAGAAGTACTAAAAGAGTCACATCAGTTACCCTAGAGAAACCTGAATTAGGAATGCCGCTCAAGACAACTGATGAAATTAGGAAGAAAATACCAAGACTGATAGTAAATAACTTTAGTTTTGGAAAGGCCCTTATGCTTCTGATGTCCATGAATAACTGACTGCAGTCTTTGAAGATTATATCAGAAATGGTAGACAAACTGTTCCAGACACTAATTTTTGAATTTAATATAATCATTTAATTCAAGAAATACTTATTCAGCATCTACTAAGTGCCAGGTACTGAGTCATGAAGGGAGGAAAGGCTGACACATACCTGTCCAAATGGAGTTGCTATTCCTACGAAATAAACAGAAAACATAAAGAACATCCAAGATAAAAACTACAAGTTACAGTCAGTACTATAAAGGAAATGGGCAAGGGAATGGACCCAAAATAATGTACAATTTAAAGACGATGATCAGAAATGGTTTCTCTGGGGAGGTAACTTAGTTGAGACTTATGGATGAAGGAGGAGCTGGCTATACAAAGCATGGGGGCATAGAAGGAAAACGTTCCACTCATAGAAGAACAGTTTCCATTGCACCATTTCTCTAAATTCAGTTTCACTCTTCTTCTTCTTTTTTTTTTTTTTTTCCCTGCCAGGGGTTGATTCCAGGGGTGTTTTACTACTGAGCTATTTCCCCAGTCCTTTTTATTTTTTGTTTTGAGATAGGATCTCACCAAGTTGCTGAGGCTGGCCTCCAACATATGATCCTCCTGCCTCAGCTTCCTGAGTTGCCTGGGATTACAGTCATGCACTACCACACCCAGCTTGATTCCCTCTTAAATCCTAGCTACCAGTCAGCAAAACCACAAGAGTGGTGTTAGAGCTACTACTCTGGAGAGGCAGCACAGGGGCAATGGATACCAATGAGTGAATTGCTGGTCTATTGATTATACTTAGCTGGGTTCTAAGGTGGCCACAAAGGTAGGTTCCTGAAGAAAACAAAGCATTGAAGAAAAATTACAAAAACCATACAGGAGGACAAATGAGACTTTAAGCACTTATTCTGTTACTGCTGACAAAGATCAACATCCTTAATTAAGTATTATGATAGATGGTTTAGGTATGGTATAGATTACATTAAAAAGACACTTGCTGCTGGGCGCAGTGGCTCAGGCACAAGGATCGTGAGTTCAAAGCCAGCTTCAGTAATAGTGAGGGGCTAAGCAACTGAGTGAGACCCTGTCTCTAAATAAAATAGCACTGAGGATGTGGCTCAGTGGTTGAGTGCCTCAGAGTTCAATCCCTGGTACCAAAAAAAAAAAAAAAAAAAAGACACCTGCTTAGCCTGGTGTGGTAGAGCCCACTTGTAATGTCATCTACTCAGGATAGCTAAAGCAGTATAACAAGTTCAAGGCCAGCCTGGGCAATTTATGCAAGACCCTCTCTCAAAATACAAATTTTTTAAAAATGCTGGGGATATAGCTCAGTGGCAGAACACTTGCAAGCATGTGCAAGGCCTGGGTTCAACCCCAGAACCATAGACATCTCCAAAGACAGTTTAATGTTTCCACGGAAATGTTGGAACCTCAACTTTCAAGCTATCACCTGAAAAATGTTCTTCCAATCATCATAAAGTAGTTTAGACACCATAAACAATGTATCTTAAGAGAGAACTATGAATAAATATTACAACATTTGAAACCATCAGGTGCTAAAGAGATCTCACAGTTCAAAGAAGTTCCTCTAATCTTGCTTTTGAAATTGGGCAAAACTGTCAAAACTCCTAACTGAACACTTTAAAGATCTGTGCATTTTGCTATATATTAATTTTATCTCAAAAACAAAAAAAACTCCAAAAGCACAAGTAAGAATAAAGATCTTCCTTTCTCACTCTGCATAAACACCAATATGCTGATCAGGAAGCAGCAATTCTCATGAATTCTCAAAACACTTATGCTTTTTACCTTTTTTTCATCAGTAAGGTCAAGGGATTCAAGTTGTTTTCCTTGGTCTGCTGCATATAGTTCTAGGAGATTATCAAAATTTGTAGTTAAAACTAGGGCCCCATTTTCCATCAGGTGGAGAACTGATTGAAGTAGCTGTTTTCCAGAATCTTCCATCTTTGACTCCAAGTCATCAAATACTTCATATAAACAGTCTTTGAAAAATGTGGATCGAACATTACTGGTACGCTGGGGAGAGATTTGAAACCAGAAATTAAATCAAGGCGTTCTGGTAGGTTGCTTGTTTTAAAGTAATAAGAAATTTATTAAGAACTTTTTGTACTTAAACAATTTCTCTTGTATGGTTGTACTTAGGAAAATGGGGTGATATAAGCCAAGCAGAATGTCTGGCATGTAGCAAGTGATCAAAACTATTATATCTTATGCAAATAAACATAAGTGCTGTGAAACAGACATTTTTCAGAAGGAAGAAAATAGGGAGCTGAAGTTGTGGCTCAGCAGTAGAGTGCTCATCTAGCATGTGCGAGGCATTGGGTTCAATCCTCAGCACCACATAAAAATAAATAAATGTCCAACTGCAACTAAAAAATGTATTTAAAAAAAGGATGAAAATAGGTATGCTGAGAGATGAGTATTTTTTAAATTTTGCTCTAACTAGTTACACATGACAGTTGAATGCATTTTTTTTAAGAGAGATTTTTTTTTTAATATTTATTTTTTAGTTCTCGGTGGACACAACATCTTTGTTGGTATGTGGTGCTGAGGATTGAACCCGGGCCGCACACATGCCAGGCGAGCGCGCTACTGCTTGAGCCACATCCCCAGCCCAGTTGAATGCATTTTGACACATAATACAAAAATGGAGTATAGCTTCTCATTCTTATGATTATACATGATATAGGATTATACTGGTCATATAATCATATACATACATAAGGTCTGTTCATTCTACTATTCTTGTCCAGTTCATTCTACTATTCTTTGTACCCTTGTGCTCCCTCCCTTCCCCTCTCTCTAATCCAAAGTGCCCCTATTTTTCCTCTCCCATTGTGAATAGCATCCAAATATCAGAGCAAATATTTGGCCGTTGGTTCTTTGGGATTGGCTTATTTTGCTCAGCATATTCTCTAGCTCTATCCATTTATCAGCCAGTGCCATAATTTCATTCTTCTTTAAGGCTGAATAATATTCTATTGTGTGTATTTATATATATATATATATAAATCTCACATTTTCTTTATGCATTCAACTGTTGAAGGGCACCTAGGTTGATTCCATAGTTTAGCTATTGTGAATGGAGCTGCTATAAACATTGATGTGGCTGTGTCACTGCAGTATACTGATTTTAAAGTCCTTTGGGTATAAACTGAGGAGTGGAATAGCTAGGTCAAATGGTGGTTCCATTCCAGGTTTTCTGAGGAATCTCCACACTGCTTTCCAGAGTGGTTACACCAATTTGCAGTCCCACCAGCAATGTATAAATACTCTCTTTTCCCCACAGAGAGATGAGAATTTAATATCAGGATTAAAGGAGAACAGAGGAGAAAGCACCCTCTAATTAGGTCTCAGACAGGAAGGTGATGCTCTGTTAAACTTCCCTTACCCACAGAATAACCTCTAAAAGATATAACTAAAATGTGTTTAGTATTCTTTTTCCTAATCCTAGGTATTCTTTATGGCTGCTTATGAAGTTAGAAAAAACATTTAACATCTCTCTCCCTGTTTTTTTTTTCCCCCCTGGCCTAACTCAGCAATCTGTTCACAGACTTATTATGAAGAATACCTAGGCCAAGTGAGGTGGTGCAAACCTGTAATCCCATTGGCTTGAGAGGCTGAGGCAGGAGGATAAGGAGTTCAAAGCCAGCCTAAGAAAAAATAACACTAAGTAACTCAGTGAGACCCTGTCTCTAAAGAAAATACAAAATAGGGCTGGGGATATGGCTCAGTGGTTGGGTACCCCTGAGTTTAATCCCTGGTATCTCCCCTCAGAAAAAAAACCACTAGTATATTTTAAAATTAGTATTAAAAAAAACTTAATGAAATTTTACAACTAAAAATTGTAATTTGCAATTGTTAAGATTAAACAGCTGGAAGCCAGGCATAGTGGTGCACACCTGTAATCCCAGTGGCACAGGAGACACTAAACAACTCAGTGAGACTCTGTCTCTAAATAAAAAATAGAAAATGGGGCTGGGGATGTGACTCAGCGGTTGAGTGCCCCTGAGTTCAATCCCTAGTACCCTGTGGCTCCCCTCCCTGCCAAAAAAGATTAAACAGCTGGATATGGTGATGCATGCCTGAAATCCCAGAGACTTGGGAGGCTAAGGCAGGAAAATTGCAAGTTTTGAGGCTGGCCTGTTCAACTGGTGAGCCCCTGTATCAAAATAAAGAACAAAAAGGACTGGAAATATACTCCAGTGGTAAAGCATCCGTGGGTTAAATCTCCAATATCACAGAAAACAAATAAACAAAGAACATCAAGCACTAATCAATTTAAAATAGACTGTTTCTTAACATATGGTATAAATAAATAACTGCTTTTCGAGCTTCATTTGTAAATACATCATGTGCTACATAAAGAGGTTCTGGTGAGTGATGGACCATACCCTACAACACCACATTGTCCCATTTGATAGTTTCACTTAATGATATCATAGTCATCTTAGTTTTTGTAAGCACACTCTTCGATGTTTATACAATAATGAAATAGCCTAAGGATGTGTTTCTCAGATGTATCCCATCACTAGGCCATGCATAACTGTATCTCTGAGTACTAATGAGGAACTAGAATACAAACTTCAGATGGGAAGCTGGCTTTATAGCTTAAAGGAACAAAGTGACCCCTAGGAGAAAAGGAATTTGAAATGAGAAAGTAACTATGTATGTGTTGAATCAAATATCTGATCCCTAGTCTGTTCCTGAAAGACCATTCCATTAGGTAATACTGAACCAAGAATGAGTGAGTTTTTGAGATGGGGTCTTGCCCTGTTGCCTAGGCTGGCTTTCAACTCCTGGGTTCAAGTGGATCTCCTGATTTAGTCTCCTGAGAAGCTGGGACTACAGGTGCAAACCACCATGACTACCTCAAGAATTAATTCTTAAAGGTTCTGATATTTCCCATTTAAACTACACAAAGGTTAGTTGTGTCAATTGCACTTGGCTGCGCTCTTACTCTCTCTCCCCCCTGCCCCTCTCTCTCCCTCCTCCTCTCTCTCTCCCCCCTGCCTCTGTTTCCCCCTCCCCTCTTTCCCCTCTCCCCTCTCTCTCCCCTCTCTTTCCCCCCTCCCCC